CTCGCATCCAGGCACCTCCCGCGACCTTCACCAGATCGTCGGTCCACCTAGTGGGAGGCCTGCCCACGCTACGTCTTGGCTGTAAGGTGATATTATAATATAACCTAAAGCCGTCCTCAATAAATGGAGCTATTCAACACAAAATATTTTTTCAAATCGGACCAGAAATTAGCGCGTTCAAGCAAACAAACAAACTCTTAATCAAAATATTAGTTTAAGTGCTTGTTCACAGTAGTAACCAAATTAACGTGGTATTTGTTATTATAAATCAATGTAGATAACCTAGGGTGATATTTACACATAAGACGAACTTAACCCCATAAGTCGTTCTCTACCAGTTAACCTTTTATTTATCCTCAGATAAACCAACCCACACTTAAGGGTTGTACACGATCCAAGCTAAATTTAACATCTTAAGCACTTGCAATAGGGTCTGTTTTCCAACAAAAACGTGTTGTACAAAAATTAACCTTGAACCCTGTAATCCCTTTAACAATGCCCTCAGCCGTTTAGGGCAATTCCAAGCGGCCCTTGAATATTTATCATCTGAGCCCTTTCTCGCAATTCTGTCAAGGAAGAGCCGTGTTTTAAGACGTTTCTTTGGTTTGCTATTGTTACATTATTGGGAATGACTGATTGATTTAAGCTTCAACCATACCAATCGCCATCGCCGGCGCGATCAAAGGCCAATGATATTTATTTATATTAACCGGCAGACAGTGGTGACTGAGTTTGTTGCGGCGCTTCTTCTCAGCACTTGTCAAATGTTGGTCTCGAAGCGCTGGTAGGGTAAAAAGATTATGATACATGTAGAGGCTCCTTAAGAGCAAAATGACGATTTGTAAGGACTATAATAATATAATAGTCTATACAAATAAAGAAATGTTCACTCTGAATGATAGGTCGCGCGACCTATGATAGTTTACGCGACCTGTCATTGGCCTTTGATGGCGATCTGCACGCGTTGGTATGGTTGAAGCATTTTTGGATTCTTCTTATTGTCTTGTCGACAACATACCTACACAGTGTCAGCCAAAAACTCCGCTACAAGAGTGGCGTTGTCAGTAGCATTCATTAAATCTTCCCGCGAGCAGTTGTTTGGGCACGTAGGGCACGACATTATGTGCTTCATCAACTGCAATTAAAACCGCAGAAAAAGTGTGCTTATGCCCGTTTTCACCATCAATCCCTAATTTTTAAGTGGCTCTATGGTAACAGTGATCCCTATATAGATCTCTAATTTTTAAATGACCCCTATGGTATGGGATTGATGGTGAAAACGGGCATTACTCTCGTAATATTGAAAGAAGATAATACCAAAACAATACTATTATTGTATGAGCTTATTCAGATAAAAAATCACTAACTAAACCGGAGATTTTGGTCGCACAGTCAAGCTTTCAGACTACTAAGACTAACGCCCGTATTCACAAACGATGCTTGCTTAAGTGAAGCAGCAAATCGAACGCACAGCGTTGAATAGAGCTCGTGAGCACGTGATTGGTTCGTGTATCACCCTATGCGTCCACGCGCACAGTGAGACCTCATAGTAATGTTTGTGAAAACGGGCGTTATAGTGTTTTCTCAAAAAAAATAATCTTTTGTACATTGAAACACCCTGATTTGATTGAATTATCTAGATTTGCACTTCACAAATTCCCAAAATCTTTGCATTACCCTCCTGGCGTTGTCCAGAACCCTTGTAAAGGCTCCCTTAAATCAGAATATTGAGCAATTTGCCGCGGGCTTCGAACCATGAGAATTTTTCTCCCCGTTGCCATTTTACTATTAAAATTGGACATTAGTATGCTAATTTTGTAAAATCGATCAGACTGTAGTGTCAATGAATATTAATGGCTGATCTCTCGTTATTTTGAACTGATTTTCGAGGGTTTAAAATTACTATTTGGTTAAGTTAAGGGTTCAAAGAGAGGTTAAAGCGATCGCATAGAAATTTGATTTTGATGTACATAAATTAGTTAAGATTGGGGGATAAGTCAGTTATAAAACCAAGGATGGGCTTTGATCACCAAAATTTCGTAAATAAGTTACTTACTTATTTAATTTGAAATCGATTAATTTCTTGATGTTATGATGGGGTCAAATTAGAAGTAATAGAATAATTACGATGTAAATTGTTTTGCTCACATTCTTCGATTTCTTTAAAAATTTGTAAACTTGTTTTAAGTAAGTAAAAGTAAGTAAATAAAGGACTTTTTGATTACAAGACGCTTTTGCATAATTTGATTCTTATTTAGGTATTATAATAAGCAGACAGTCTGCAGATTTCAAGATTATTAGTTTTTCTTAATTTTCAAACGTTTAATTTTTGTTTTGTAAAATGAGTCGTATTACCTATTAATTATTAGCCCGACGGATTAGCAAGCTGAAGTGGCAATGGGTAGGGCACATAGTACGCAGAAGTGACGGCCGATGGGGCAGAAAGGTTCTGGAATGGAGGCCGCGCACCGGAAAACGCAGCGTGGGACGTCCACCTACAAGGTGGACCGACGACATCGTAAAGGTAGCAGGGAAGCGCTGGACGCAGGCCGCTACCAATCGATCAACATGGAAAGCATTGGGGGAGGCCTATGTTCAGCAGTGGACATCCTATGGCTGAAATGATGATGATGATGATGATTTAAATACTTAGCCTACATTAACACGTATTTTCTACACCTATCTCATACGAAGTCCTAATATAATATCGCCTATTCCGTTAAATAGGTATTATATTGCTTCCATGATATCGTTTATCGAGCTCATAGTTCACATACACTGTGCCTACAATATCTTTTATCTCGATACACTAGTGATGGGAGATGATCGATAACCAAAACTTATTATTTCAAATAACTTGAAAAAAATTGAATTGCCGCGGCCGGGGGGAATTAAACTAAAGATTTAAAAAAATAGTTTGAGGTGCGACTCTTAACGCTAGGAATATCGTTTTAAATTCAAGTTTATCTTTTGATCACCAATCGCAGCAATACGAGCCAATTTAAAAACAATACCTACTGTTTTTTCGATTGACCCGATCAGAAATAAAAATTAATCTCTGGATTTTTCTTAACCATAGACGAATTGCCACGCGCCATTTTGACATTCAACATCGCCAAGTTTGTCAAAGTCAAACGGTATTTTCTATGGAACTGAGGTCCACAGCATGGTTAAAGTGGCAGTCCTTTACTACAAAAAAACTTATTAAACTTAATTTAATCATTAAATTATTATTTGTTTTGTTTATCTACCAAGAGGAAGCTCTGAATGTATCGATGCTAAACTATCGACATAACTACTAAATCTAAACTATCAACATATTCCCCGCACTATATCGGAACACACGTAATAATACGAAGACGTTGGATATGAAACTCTAAACAACGGATCGGTCCAATAAAATATCTTTGGACCATTTCTTCATACAAAGAGCGTATATTTATCCCGGCGAAAGAGACGGAGATATACAATTGGGTGTGTATGAAAGGGACAGCACGTGGCACCTCGGGCTATGGGAGGCAATATCTTGAGATAAAGCTTGGATGCGAATAGAGAAATGTTTTTCTGGATCTTTAGGTTCGGTTTATAAATATAGTAATAATTGGTTTGTAAGAATATTGGTTATTTTCTAAGATGGGTGAGAAACGTAATGGTAAGCACTTTATTATAGAAAATCTAATTATAAAAATGAATCGTAAAATGTGTTGGTAAGCGCTTAACACAACAACGCCTGTTCCTTGAAGTCCAAAGTACGGCGAGAAAAGTTCGAAAATTTTCCGGTAAAACCCTAAAAAAAACTTGAAACTTCACCTCTAAGAGGATGAAACGGGATCCACGCGTACGAAGTCGCGGACGGCCGTTAGGTGAAGATAAAAGTGATAATTGTATTTTTAATTTTTGTATATTATTTACGTGCAAAAAATAGTAAAAAGTATGCAGGTAGTATTTCAATTGTAATTGTATGCTGTACACTTCAACTTTGTATCTGTGTGTGTAACTTTATTTGCTTTTTAGGGCACCTAAGTATTTGGCGTACCTACTTACTCAGTGAAAATTTGAATTCATCTTTAACAATGAACTATTTTCAAACCTCTCTAAGCTAAATTTTAACTACATTTTAAGTAGGTACCTAGATGATGATTGCCATGTGGAAAGGGACAAAAGTTCCCTTTAAAATAAAACCAATTTTCAAAGATTAGAAAGAAAATGACTGTCTCAGCTTTCTATAGAATTTTCGCTCAATCAATAAACCCACCTAAATAATCATCAATCATGAAGGCCCAAAGGTATTCAAAAACCCTAATAAATATCAAACAAAGTCACTTACTGTAGTTATGGAAGTCTGTGACCTACACTGAGTTGCAGTTCTCCCTAACGTAAAACAACAAAAACCCTAATGATCATAAACCAAAGTCACATTTAACGTGGTCAAGCGCCGCATAAAGTAAAGTCACTTACTTTAAGTGTGGAAGTACGTGACCTGCATTGAGTTGCAGTTCTCCCTAATAAAGATATACGTAAAACCACAAAAACCCTAATGATCATAAACCAAAGTCACTTTTGACGTGGTCAAGCTCCGCATAAATGAAAGTCACTTACTGTAAGTGTGGAAGTCGGTGACCTACACTGAGTTGCAGTTCTCTCTACGTAAAGCAACAAAAACCCTAATGATCATAAACCAAAGTCACTTTTGACGTGGTCAAGCGCCGCATAAAGCAAAGTCACTTACTGTAAGTGTGGAAGTCGGTGACCTACACTGATTTTCAGTTCTCCCTACGTAAAACAACAAAAACCCTAATGATCATAAACCAAAGTCACTTTTGACGTGGTCAAGCTCCGCATAAATGAAAATCACTTACTGTAAGTGTGGAAGTCTGTGACCTGTATTGAGTTGCAGTTCTCCCTAATAAAGATATACGTAAAACCACAAAAACCCTAATGATCATAAACCAAATTCACCTTTGACGTGGTCAAGCTCCGCATAAAGGAAAGTCACTTACTGTAAGTGTGGAAGTCGGTGACCTGGACAGTATTGCAGTCCTCGCCAACGTGAAGATAGGTGATCTCGCATCGGTAGACGCCCTCGTCCTCAGCCTTCACGTGGTTGATGACCAGCTCCGCGTATGTCGCGTTAGGGACGTGCGATATCGATATCCTGGAACAAAAGACATAGATACAATAAAAAAAAAATATCTTTGGACAATCTCACACAGCGCCATCTAGCCCCAAAGTAAGCAATTAATGTGCTTGTGTTATGGATGCTAGCTTAACGGATATACTACTTATATACTTTTTTTTAAATACATACATATTATACATAGTAACACCCAGACCCGTCACAGAAATTAAAATTCATCATTTCAATTTCTGCCCGGCCGGGAATCGAACCCGGGACCTCTCGGCATAGTAGTCCGTTCTGAACCACTACACCAAACGGCTGACATGTCCAGATGGATTAACCTTTATTATACAAAATCCAAAAATCTAGATCGTTTATTGTTTGCAAGTAGAGCACTTTTACACGTCCCAACCCTATCACAATACAATACACCACACAAATCAAGGAAAAGAAATACACACAGAGAAGGCACAATTTTAAGTTATTTAAAATTTGTCTAGCAAATTTATTTCCTGCAATGAAATGAGGAGTGCTACCCCATTTGTGTATGTTTTCTTGTGAAACAATCGTACATTTTGTTACTCCAATTATAATGTGTAACACAAACGGTAGTCCATATTTTTTATAAATAAAGAAACGCCATACTGTGAGTTATATGCGTAAAGGCTGGCACAAAATTTTTTTACCGAGTTCTTGAGCTAGCCTAACTCGCCAAAGGCTACCCTACGTTAATTTATAAAATATGCCACAATACGTACCAAATCCACGAACAAATAAGCACCTAATCACTTTACACTTTAAAACACAAAAAAAGATTTATTTTAAAACTGGATTGAATTACGTTAATGTTCATATTAATACCAGAGCCAAAAATAATCAAAAACAAAGATCACCAGCTGAATTTCTTACTGACCGTTGAAAATCTATTCGATATCAAAATTGGTCTACCCTCTTTATATATTTTTTTTAGTTCCACCCTGGTACACTATTTCACATTTTCACTTCTCACTCGAAGTTATATCACTTATTGCACTCTTCAGTGACTTTGTGTTATAGGCAGTATAAATAAGTAATTATTTAAACTCGCGTATTAGTAACTTATATTATTCCATACAATTATATTGAAATTAAACGTAATGTTAACGTAAGTATGATTAGTTTATTAAAGGAAGGACTTTATTCATACAGGGTGTTAAATCAACATTTTTATTTATTTGTTACGGTTTCAAAGTATTTTAAAATGATGTCGATTTCGCTAAATATGAATGAAATAAAACACTGAAAATGATGTATTCCGTAAAACCGCAAATTATTATTTTTCCAAGAATATTATGCCCATCTGAAAGTCAATGTTATTTTGTTGTTTGTACGCCAAATATTTGTGATACATTAACATGTTTTTATTAATGTTTCATAATGTATCTACCTACTCAGTACTCAAATGTATTTCGAAAAATATTTTCTCCAACCCTTCAATACCAACCAAAAGAGATTTTTTGATTCAATTAACACAAACAATTAACAACAGTGCCAGTGTTACCAACACTCAAAAAACAAACTATCACCATGACCGTTCCGTAAAACCAATCGGGAACCAATCAAACCTTTGCTAAGGGTTTCTTAATTACAATCCTGCAACTCATGGAACTATTTACTGGGGTTTCGTAGAAAATGAATAAGGAAAGTTGTATTTTGGGGGGTAATTGAATGGGACAGGTTGCAGGGATTGATAGGTTAAGTTTTGTTTCCCAATTTGATGGTTCAGTACACATCAAAGCTAATGTTGAAAGAATCTTTCTCTATCTGAAATGTAGTTTTTTGTTTAGTGACGGTTTGATTCTAAGGCTGAATTGCACCATTCTACTTTGACTTTAACAAACATCAAAAATCTGTCAAACTCCATACAAAATACACCGATTACCTTTATAGTTACGGTTAAAATTGAGTGGTATAACTCAGCCTAAGCGTGTGGTTTATGTCATAAAGGATTTGCATTAATTTTAAACAATTTCTTTGATTAAAAAATATTATTAGCTAGCTAAGTATATGATTGAGTTTCTTGCGCTGTTCTTAAGCACTGGCCCATTTATTGCCCCGAAGCAGTGGTAAGTTAATACAGGGTCGTGTAAAATACTTTTGACCAGCTTACTTGCAAAGATTTTTTTTCATAGATTTTAGAAATATGGTTTTTGTTTGTGTAAATTTTAAAAGTTGCTCTGATTTTGCTTAAAAATACACTTTCCATTTTTAAAATATATGTAATTACCTACTAATTTTAGGATAAAGACGCATCGTAACATCTTTGCGCTGAATATCATTTCTAACTAAATACCATACACAAAATCCTCCCAAGCTCTCAAGTTAACCACCAAAGTTGTCTAAAGTTAATCCGTAGCTTTCAATCTGAGCCAAAACGTCTCCGTGTGTACACTCAGCAATACAACTTCACCTGAGACTGCATCTTATTGACGCTGGATCGCCGAGTTGACAAGTTAAACACAGGTGAGGTAGAACAGCCAGCTCAGTCCGTCAGGATCAAATCAAATCAAATATAGACTAAGAGCTAGTGAACGCCAGACCTACGACATTTTATAAAAGCTGAAAGTTTGTCAGTGTGGGCAACACTATAGGTTAGAATGCTGGTGAATCATGAAGTTTGGGTCATCGTGGCTTTGGCAGCTATCCTAAAAAAAACTGTTTGGCAAGGAGTTGGAACTGTCAAATCTATCTGGCTGATGTGTAAACAACTTCTAATCATTACCCAACGCTGACAAACTTTCAGCTTTTATAAAATGACGTAGGTCTGGCGTTCACTAGCTCTTAGTCTAATCTAAGTACGATGTCAGGTTAGGACTTCTACCCCCTTATTAATAAAAGTTACACCCTAGTTGAACTCGAACTTGAATTTAGTATGGAAATATTATTTTAATCCAGTGTTCATCCTAGGTGTAACTGTTTATTAATAAGGGGGCTAAAGTTGACCAGTGGAATTTTGTTTCGGGATTTTTCTGTCTCTTCCGCAGTCTATCATTATCACCAGGTCAATTTTAGTCTCCATAAGTAGCAGGAGGATGAACGTATCTAATTTATCAGAGGCAAAAAAAAGGATTTAGTCACAGCCCCTGGTAGGATGGTAGGATAGGCAAGGGAGACCGCCATCTACAAGTCTGTCGTAACAAAGTGTGGCAATGTCACTAGTGATTAAATGCAATAAATATAATTTATAAACTTTCATGACTGCAGATTTATGAGAAGTATTTGCACCTCTGTCTGTACCTTTCTATGCAAATTCAACGAAACTTTAAATTTTTTCAAGGCTCTATTTGGACTTCAATGAATTACTTACATTACAGTTATATCATTTAGTGATTTATTTTTAACGTTTTTCAGCAAAATTATTTTGAAAAAAACTTTTAGTGAACTGGCTGTTCTCTCCGAGCAATTTGTGGAACATCAATTAATGTAATGGCATAAGTTTTGCGTCGGCAACTAAAACAGCGGTAACCGCCCAAATCTCGAGCTATTTCTGCCACAAAGCATCAATATCCGAAAATGTAGCTTTAGGCCTGACTTCCACAAAGGCGAAGCGGAGCAGAGAAGTGTTTTTAATAATAAATAAACCAATCGTTCGTTTCAGCCGAAAGACGTCCACTGCTGGACAAAGGGCTCCCCCAAGGTTTTCCACAAAGACCAGTCCTGCGCCGCCTGCATCCAGGCACCTCCCGCGACCTTCACCAAATCGTCGGTCCAGCTAGTGAGAGGCCTGCCCACACTAGGTCTTCCGGCTCGTGGTCGGCACTCCAGAACTTTTTAATTTTGTGTTTTCAATAACCAATAAGATTTCATTATTTATTAATAGTGACTGAGTTTCTTGCGCTGCTTCTTCTCAGCACTGGCCCATTGATTGTCCTGAAGCAGTGGTAGGGTTAATACTGGGACGTGTAAAAGTGCTTTTAAAAGCCTATTTGCAAAAATAAATGAGTTTTATAAGTTTTTTTAATGAGTTTTCCACATGTCCACTACGCTCCGCTTCGGTGGAAGTAGGTCAAGCGGAGAAGTGTCGGGCGGACTATTTTTTCTATAGAATTTGATAGCGGTGGCGGCACGGCGCAGAGTGGTGCGGAGTTGTGCGGAATGGTGCTGTGTATCATAGACAGCAATAGATTGACAGCTGACAGTTGTAGATCGTTTCATCCACGAAGACGTGCCCCACCAATTTTTAATCGAGGTAAGCGCGGGGTGCGGGGAGTTTGATCCGAGCAATCCGAGCGTCATTATTGTAGTGTGCGTGTGCACTCATGGATAATTTAGCGTGTACCGATAACATTCAAACATTAGCGGAAGAATGGTGGGGCGCGTCTTCGTGGATGAAACGATCTATACGCACAGCTCGCAAATTTTCTCTCGTCTCGTCTCCTCTCCGCTCTTCTCCGCTCCGCTCTCCGCATTAGTGGAAGCCAGGCCTTAGTATTGGGACCCGCTGTTTATTTAGTTCGTAACTTTGTAGGTGTTAAGTTACTACATTGTGCACTCGCTCACGCAAGTTTGCGTATATTGTGTAACGAATACCGCTTACAATGGGTTTCAGGATTAGTGACGTAGGTATAATTATATCTTTATCAATATCGTTTCAGCCGTATACTAAAATAATTACTTTAGTAGGACCATATTTAATTCTCTAAGAGTTTTTTTCGTACAAATACTAATTTTTCTGTTGTTTTTATTCTTTGCAAATAAGTAGAAAAAAAAAAATTAGTACTTTCTTTAAAGAGGTTTTGATCACTTTTGTATTTAGTTTCTTTAAGTTTTCACGCACAATGAATGTGTTAAGTAATTTTTATTTTTCTCAATATCTCAAGAACGTGACACTTTATGTACCATAAGAATATTATACCTACTTAAAATCTAAAATGGCGGCCATGTGGATATGTCACAAAGGCTCTAACCCCTTTCTAAACCACCTATTTTTTTCACCTGTATTTTTATAGCCTAAACGATGGATAAGAAACTTTACAATCACTTTTAAATAAAAGAAGCTGTACAAAAGTATTAAAAGACACCACAATACGGCGACAAGGGCGACATTAGCACTCAAGAAATCCAATCTTGGTTTCGCATACAAAGGCTGGAAAAAATCTCCTCGCCGGAACACTGGGAGTGGGCAAGTTGGGTTGGAGTTTTTATGATTAGGTTCCGTACATTATTTTAGTCGAATGAGATGAAATTACAATTACAACAAATATTTTTTTACAAATTACAATTTAAATTTTCAAATGCGGTTTTACTTTTTAATCCTACCACTGCTTCAAGACATATTAAAACACAAAGCAGCGCCTTTTTTCAAAGGTTTAAACGTATTATGACTAGCAATGACTGATGATGATGCATCTGAGTTTTGTATGTTTAATCCTTAGGTACTACAGGATGCTGTAGGTACAGTATCTTTTGTCAGGATCAATGTCTTACACTGACATTATAAAATAATGGCACATCTCCCATTATTAAATGCAAAATAAAGGTCATTTTAAGGCTCCTTTATTG